GAAAAGCTTTACATGGCTGTCAGGCTGAAAACGTCAGTATTTTTATTCATTCTTTTTTTTGTGTGTGTGTGTGAGGAATTTTAAGTAGGGAGGCGTAAATTCATGTTTTTTTGGCTTAATTTCAAGTTTTGAAGTTTGTGGGAAGTTTTGCCAAAAAGAGACTTCGCAGTTTTCATTGGCAATGAGCTTAATCACTGTGAGGTGGCCGTATATTCGGCACGTTAGTTTAAATAGATTCTTACTTACCAGCTCTCTGGTATTTTTAGCTACTTAGTTATTTCAGGGAGCTGGTAACCCTTAAACAAGCTTATCAAATCAGTTTTTACAAATGACTGTAATTCCTAAATTATGGGGTAATAAAGTTGTTGTTGTTGTTGTTGGATAAAAGAAAAGACACGCAAGCGATTTCAAAGCTCTCACAAATCACTTAAGTTATGTTGCCCAAACAAAGTGAACTTTTACTTTTGAAAAATTTTCCATTGTTATGTTTTTGTCAACGAGTTTATTTTCGTTCTTTTTCTAACATGATCGTATGTCTGGGGCGGATCCAGGAGTGGTTCGAGTGGTACGGTCGGACCCCCTAAACTATCCCTCAGAACGCTGGAAATTATGTTTCCGAAGACCTAATTTTCAAAATCTTGGACCCTTCAGAAGGGGAACAATTCTCCGTACCCCCCTTGACTAAATCCTGGATCCGCCCGAGGTAGTTGTTGTCTGGCAGTTACCGAATCGTTTTCGACGTGGACCACCGGAACACAGGCCCACAGGACCACAAACTCCAAGAGTGAAAACAAGTTTAAATGACGTTCTTGTACAGAAAATTACCCTGTTCAATAAGAAAGATGGAAATATTTATAAAGGTATTAGAACAAATTAGATATTATTTAAGCCCGCTAACTCAGTTTTATGTGTCGCTGTGCAACGAATTGAGATTTTTCTCCTGAAAACGACATTAAAACACGCTTATAAACTGGAATTCGTAGGGCCATGATAACAGTCAAGATCAAGTAATAATCTCGTCTCAGCACAAGATGCCTCAACAGAATTATCAAACTTAAAGTATCTGCGTAAAACATTCGGCTTCCAAACAAAATCTAATGGGGATAAAGTCATAGTTCAAATGGCCACAATTTCCTAGAGTTTGGTTATTATTTATTTTGTCTAGTCACAAGATTCGTAAAATTTGAGTAGAAATTAATTTTGCCATCGGAAAGAAAAAACGGTCGACATTCTTACAAATTTCCAGACACTTAACTTAGTTACAAGATTTTTAAGAAATGTTTCTGTAGTTACCAGACTAAGTTAATTCCTGCCAATGAATTTTAGATCACCAAGTTTAGTCCTGAACAGTTTTTGTCGTAGTTTAAAATTGGATTTCATTTAGTTATATCTGATAGTTAGACATATTTGATGGTCTGCAAACGTATTGCAAAGCCTTAAGGAAGCATCAGATACATTTTTCGTGACACAACCAAATCCTCCAATCCCTAGGTGATAAATAATGACCAATTTCCTGAAAGACATGGTTGCCATGGCAAACTTAAGAGAGGTCACACCATTCCCTTACATGTCACTAATAACTTAACCAATTTTTGATCGAAGCTCCTTAGATTTCGCAAAGATATTAGAAAAAAAAAACTGATGGGTATGAGCTCTCTTAACCAAAAAAAGGAAACATTTGGGAACTTATTCTCTAAAAGGGCTTTAACAGACTCTGCTAATAAAAAAACAAAAAGAAATGCAAAAGCAACCGTAGAATGCATGCCTAGGTAGTTTTCAAAGTGTTCTGTTACTTTAGTAAAAGCGAAAGTCTCCGCTAAAGTTATCCTAACATACACATTTTTACTGAAATATGGATTTTTTTATTTTTTTTTTTTGCGTTTTTCAATTTATTTAGTGTTAGTCTTCAATCAGAACCATATGTTCCTAAAACAACTTCACCACTGCGGAATGGGAATACAAAAATTATCAAACCTTTTCAAAGGTGCTTTTGGTAAAATGATAGCCGCAGTTTTATCATTACGACAAGGTTTGTATTAGTGTAAGGTTTGTGAAAGGGCACAAGGGGATTATGGGGGATAGGAGGGAAGTGGACAAAACCATGGGATTCTATCATCGGATATTCCGTTCGGATTAAAAAACTTCGAAAGTTATTGCAATGCTGGTTTTTTGCGTATGTTTCAAATCCGTCTCCTCTCCAAGGAGTAGTAATCTCCGCGATGTTTCCGTATGGCTTTTATAAACCTAAAGATGAGCCAGGATAGCTTTAAGACATAGAGGGGTTGATCAAACACAGACGTTAACGGTACAAAATCCACTGATTTTTTTTCCATTCATTTAGTTACCTTGTATCTATACGGTAGTCTCTCTTCCTTCGAGAGAAACTGTTTGAATGTCGCCACTCCAGCTCTTCCTTATGCTAACGTCTGAAAGACATATGCCATAGCACTGCATGGAATATCCTTCCTGCGCATAATTTGACACATAAATGGCACACGCACGTACATTAAAGATTGCGGCTTGGTAAACTATTATCTTTTTTCTCTTCAGTTCCTGGAATTGAGCAATGTCATTCTTCTCCTGAAATAAATTTCAACTCCAATTCTCAGCGAAGGAAAAGGAACAATTTTCGGTAACGCAAATTTAACCAGTGCTCGTAAATTTAATTGTTATGATATTATAGGAATTATAAGAGTACTTCAGTTCCTAAACGAACCCCGGGATCCCCCCTTTTTTATCTCAAAATTTTCTTTCCTATATGAAAAACAACCAAAAGGTAAAGTTTGACAAAAATCTCAGAGCAGGTTCTATTTCAGAGGAAAGAACTCAGGGACCGGTCATTCTTTATCCCCTGAGGGGGGAGGGGACTGGTTCCTGAATAAGAGATCTAAAACAGCATGGTTGAACAACTTGCTGTTTTAGATCTCTTATTCAGTCTATAACTGATGACTCTGGTTCCTGAATAAGAGATCTAAAACAGCATGGTTGAACAACTTGCTGTTTTAGATCTCTTATTCAGTCTATAACTGATGACTCTGGTTCCTGAATAAGAGATCTAAAACAGAGCAGTTTGACAACTTGCTCAATAGTGATAACAACTTGCCAAATTTTCGCCAATCTTCAAAGAAGCTGAGGCTTCCAAATTTTGGCAAACAATTTTGTTTGTTTAACCATTGAGCTGTCATTTTTCTTCAAAATACTTGGATCAAGTTACGGCGGGAAAAATTACTTTGTTCGCCTAACGCAGGTTAGCTTGTACGATGTCGGGACGAAATAGTTTTTTTCCCGGTCCATCTAACCGTTCTATTGCCATTCCATTCTATTCTATTCTAGGCCTTATGGTGAAACAAAGAACTGCATACCCGGCGTTTGACTGAATATCGATTTATTTCGAGAAAATCGATAACTGAATTTCGCCCAAATGCCACTTTTGAAGCTCAAAATGTCAGACTAATCTCGGAGCGTCGCGCCACAGATTGAAAACACTTGGATCGATAAAAACTACCAAATCTTGAAAAACAACATCAATACATAATTTTTAATCATTCATTTACACAACGTAATTGAATTTATCCGACCCTCTTCTAACAAGATTAAAAATAGGTCAAAAGTAACCCGTTATTTAACTATGCGCTAGACAAATAATCGACTGAAAATCTGCCTTTTGGAAGGCGAAGTGTGATTCTTTTCGATCTCCAAAGGATTTTTTTGGGGAAATGATTCAGTGAAGTTGGAAATGCGCTGATTTGATGATGCCGTCAGTTATTCGAAAATGTACACATTCACACTCAAACTCGATTGTTTCGCATTTTACATCCAATCTACAGCTTATTCAATATAATATCATCTTACCGTCCATACTGCTGTACCACAAAAGGGGATTGCATTCCTGAAATTGTTGCATTGCTCCCATAATAGCGATATAACGAGTTCGGGTTTTGGCCGAGGGTCGAGGGTCGAGGGTCGAGGGTCAAGGGGCGAGGGTCGAGGGTCGAGGGTCGAGGGTCGAGGGTCGAGGGTAAAATGTTGAGGCTCCGAGAAAAATGTTGAGGGTCCATAAAAAACTAAATATCGTCAATTTAAAAAAAAAATGAGATGTCGTGAAGTGTCAGAGGAAACTCAGAAATTACATATGGATAAATTCCTGACATGTTGTAACTTATTGTTTTTGTATACTTCCATGCTTCATTTACCCAGCTTCCACAAATGCACCCGCAACCGCAAATAAATAGATGCCGGCTGATCGAGGTCAAGGTTAACTTTGTGGAGAGCGTGACTAAGCAATTCGTCTATCGAAATATGGTTTTCTCTTAAGCGCCTAAATCTCGCGCTTTCTGGGTTTCCATCCCCCGTGAAGTCATAAGCAAAAAAACTCGAACTGAGGAACAGCAAATAAAAAATTATTTCGCAAACAGTGATGCGCTAATAAAGGGGCTTTTAGCAACGTCTGACAAAAGATTGACTAGAAAAACGTACAAATTTTTGTTGTTTGATTTCAATTTTTTGTCATTTTTATCGATGGTGTGTTTTAACATTTGTTCCCTCTGATCCTGCATAACGTTTTGCACATATCCGAAACTGAAGTTTTTACTGCTGCTGTTACTGTAGTTTTAGTCGAATTTGTCATGATTTCATCTGATACTCGGAGTGTTAAGAATCTTCTTTCTCCTGACATCATAATGACATATCCAGAAATCTGGGACATTTAGAGCCCGCGCACATCAGCGGTAATCTTACAGAAAAAAATGGCGGCCGTAGGCTCTAAGAGAAAGCGTTCGATCATAAATTACAAGGATTTGAATGAAATATCGTGTGTTGTTTTGTATGACACTGCCAGAAAAAGTAAAGGGAAGTTTTATGAAGTGGATAGGCTCATTGAGAAGAGGAAAGTTGGCCATGTGAGTACATGTCAAAACGAAATGTTTTTTCGATTTATTTGATTTTGTTATTTTTTAGGGATGATCGTGAGATATGTTTGTTCTTTCATTGTCAGAAAGAGGAGTATCTTGTGAAATGGAAAGGTTGGCCACTGCAAGCCTGCAGTTGGGAGCCAGAAGATCACCTCACACCACCCTTATTACGGTGAATGTTTGCCTTATATAACTGATTGAGTTACTCAATGTTCCTCTCGTCTTTTCTTTCCCTTTTTTCACTGAGTTTACCATGTATAACCGTTGATGTAATACAGAAATAAATGCAGTTTTACCATCCACAAGCTTGTAGTTTTATTTTATTTCAAAATTCACAACTTATGAAAAGCCTGTCAAGCCGGATAGCTACCGGTTAGAGGTGGCTGCAAGAAACTTCTACCATGCCATGCTAAGAGGTTTGAAAGGGAAGTCTTCCGCCCCTGTAGATGTACAAATTGACTTTGATGTGCAGAGGTATCTATGGAGAGATAGAGGGGTTGTATCTGAACACCCTGGATACAAACTTTACAATAAAGAAGACTTCTTCTGTTTCACCACCCTTCCTGAGATCTGGTGGTATTACCTTGATCTCCATGGACAGGGTAAAGCTGTGGATTTCCCTTTGAAAATGAAACCCCTTTTAAGCTGGACTCCGGTTCAATACACTAAAGATAATGGAATGCTGAAGCAGGCACCACAAGCACCAGTTGAAAAAGTGATAATACACTTTTGCAAGAAAGCATGCAATATTACAAAATTGTGAAGCTAGTTAATAACAGAATGCAGAGCCACTGTTTTGTTCATCATCAATGCCTCTCCAATTGGCCCAGTTCCAATGAGAGATTGGACATTTCCAAGAGCTTCAATTAGAATTAGTGTATTGTCTTCAACTTTAAAACCCTATCATCAAAAATCAATCATTCGTATTGTCAGAAATAGCTTTCCTGAGAATTTCCCTTAGCTTGTCTTCTCTCCTACATTTGGTAGCAATTCCCATTTCTTTGAGTTTGGTTTTTAGCTCAGGGATGGTCATTGTGTCCACATCACCCTCAGTAATTGGTGGTTCATCATCTTGTGTTGAGGCAACACACAGTCGTGGTCTCTTTCTTCTTTGCTCAAAGATGTCAGCTTCCCAGTACTCATCTTTTTTTTTGGTATACTGGTGTGGTTGCCTTTCAACATCTTGAAGATGTTCAATTCTTTTCAGGGCTAGAATTGCCTCTTTGCATGCATCATGCTTGTTGCATTTGTTGTGGTATATGGAGCGTACAGTATCATTAATTTTTTCAACTCCTTGGCCTGTGAATAATTTAAAAGGGGTCTTGTCTCTGATGAATTGGGGTAGGTGGTAGGCCAATATATGAAAGTATGGGGTGACAGAAGCATTTTCATATCCAATGACCTCTCCACCAAGTGATAGATACAATTTTATCCACTCTGTTGCCTGTTTAGAATTAAGTAACAACAAATTAGTTTTTGT